CTAGACAGCATAATTATAAGAATTTTTCACAGGAATTCACCAATTTTCTTCACCTACCAACAAGAGGGCGGAAGTGGTGTAGTGGCAAGTGGCACGCTTACCACGCGAGCGGTCCGGGGATCAAATCCTGGGTCGTGAGTCGCCCGGGCCAACCAAGCCTTCCATCCCTCCGGGGTCGGTTAATTGGTACCAGACTTGTCTGGGAGGATAAAAACACTGACTTGTACATCGGCTGGCCCCCGCAAGTCATTGTATAGGCCACATCGCATTCAAACGCCACTACGAATGTACAAATGGAAGTAGAATGCGTGCCGCATCCCAAAAAGGGATTGATCAACGGCAAATGCTTTATCCTTTATCCTTACCAACAAATTTAACACGTTGACGACAGCGTGACGCGGTAACGCGTCCCACCCAAGTCATCCCTTTTCTTGCGCTTGTGCGACTTATTCCTAAGGTCTTTGTACTCATTCTATAGGTCATACATTAGCATACTTAAAAACCACATGGCTCACAGAAAGGCCAAATATTCTTTAGTTTGGCAGACGTTTTCCAGACCTTACGGATATGTCTGTTCAGTTCATTCCTCGTTTTCTTTTCAATAACGTAACATGTTGATAAAAAGGAATAACAGAAGTGAATACAAACCTATTCGTATGGGAAGATATGTGTTTTTACTGAAACAACCACGTCCAAATTAATTTTGGAACCACTAAAGGGAAATTAAGTAAAATTTCCCTTTTCATGGCCTTAACACGTCATTTCGGTCAAACTTCCATTACTGTAACTCCTGATAAGCTAGACAGATCGAACATCATTGAAAACATTTCATCGCATCTAAGTATTGCGATTTACAACTTAAAATCCATGGATTTGGTGTGCGGCGGCTGCGCTCGCAAAATCGCTCTTGTCCCACGCGGTGCAAAAGCACAAAACGCGCGATGTCGTCAACGTGTTAACATCTGAAACCGTGGCATGCGCATGCGCGCCACACTTCACAAGCCACCTGGGGCATTGTGATGGGAGCGAGTCGCACCCATGTCTTTCATTTGCGCAGGCGTGCCTTTTTCACAGGATTTTTTGTATTTATCCTATGGATTATGCCTTACAAGGGCGGTCTTTCAGGACAAAAAGCGCTTTTTCAAACGGCTTCTTGCATATGTATTGTAGGCACGTATGGACCACAAAACCATGTTTCGTTTTCGCTGAACGGTTTTAGTAGTACCAAAAAAGTGTGAAAGATACTGTTGATGGTTCGATCCCCGCGGCGACTAAATTTTGCATTTTAGGTTGGCGCCTACGGTTGGTGCCAAATCGCGCTAAATGTCAAAATCAGATGTCATATTCATAGTCAGGACCATTTTGAAGCCAACAAGTAGCCGCCAACTTTGAATGCAAAATTTAGTCGCCACAGGGATCGAACCAGAACCAGTGTCTTCACAACTTTTGGTACTACTAAAACCGTTTAGCGAAATGAAACATGTTTCTGTCCCTACATGCGTTCCTAAAATATGCAAGAAATCGTTTTGAAAAGCGCGGTTTGCCCTGAAAGACCCCCCTTGTTAGAATAATGACGAACGGGTGGTCCAGAATGGTAAGATATGCTCGAGGTTAACAAAGGTTTTCTGAGCCTTCTGAGATTTTCAATTTCGCTTCATTCTTCTTTGCTACTATTTTTTGACGTAAAAAATTAACTATCATAGAAATAGTGAAATTGAATAGAAAGCTTCATGGGTGGTGTTTTCAGTTGACAATTAAGAAAAATTTGCTTTTGACGCCGATTGCAGCGAGAATTTGTAAATGCTTTTTCATTGCAATTACATAATTCCAAGTTCGGAATTTTACCATCAAAGCCCCGAATGATTACTGCGCGTCGATTATTGCTCATTTTGGAACATTCACTTTTTTGCGCATTTATCTCTCAAAATTCGCGGCTGTGAAGTGAAGCCACTGCCTGAAGAAGCGCCCGTCCAGCGCGGCTTGAAAAGCCTAAACTCGCCGTGCAGTCTCGTCAATGTTAAAATGGTAATAAAGAAATGAAGCAACTCACATATTGAACTATCGCTACGCCACCAAACAAAAAGAAGAGCGACACCCATTGCTGGATAGATAGTTTTCGACCTAACACTAACACTGTGAATACGGCTGTCGTAAGAATTTTCAGTTGATACGTGACCTAAAAATATTACTTGTAGGGCAGGATATGGTTCATAATTGAAACAAAAACAATAACGAATCCTGAAGAAATACCATATAAGTAGCAGCCGGCAGATTCTCCACTGCAACATAAAGTAGGAAATTCTGGATCGTGTAGACAACTGCTGGTACCAGAACTTTTAGCGCATCACGCCAATGGTGTACAAATTGATCATATATTTGAGCTAAGCCCCTAAACACAACCGCTTTACTATCATAATTGTCCACTGACTGAAAAATCTAAGCTTTATCTCTTCTCCTTTTTGACGCGTACTTCAAATTTTACTATTTAATATTGGTGATTTCAAATAACAGCTGTCCGGCGTAGCACAACATTAGGCAGGTCCTCTGCGGTATCTGTGGATTTCGGTGATTGTGGGTGGATTTGAACTCCCACATGTTCAAAGTCTGATCAATTTATCCGTGTAGCTTGAGCAAACATACAACCATCACTCTTTTATTTTTCCATAGGACTAATTACCGAGCTGTCCAGAAAGTCCTACGACACTGTGGAGATGCTCCTTGAAAAAACAAATTCGAGATCTTTTTCATTTATGCGACGTTTCATTAAGTGGTGTATCTCGGGAGGTTTTAGTCGAGGGTTTTAAAAGCTCTGTGCTACGTTTCGCAATAAATTCCATGTTCGGTCTTCTTGGAACCTGGGCATCTTGATATTGTGTGTTTTTCTTCTTTTGTGCCGCACAGGTTGTTATGGTGGAACCGTTTATTGGTCAACGTTTCGACAAACCGTCGTCTTCAGGAAAAAAGATAAAAATTTCAGATAAAAAATTTATCTTGGTCACTAACGAGAGGAGGCTGCTGGGAGACTGGTGGGATCACAGGTCCTGAAGACGACGGTTTGTCGAAACGTTGACCAATAAACGGTTCCACCATAACAACCTGTGCGGCACAAAAGAAGAAAAGCTCTGTGCTACGTTTTGCAGCTTCCAACTCCTCCCTGATCCATCTTGCCTAAGCCAACCTTCGACCTGTTTTACAGTACGAGTTCTTACAAGGCCACTGCGCTTGAGTCGTTGCAGCTAGCATCGTCTGTAGTTGAGAGGAGGACAGTTCATCATTACGGTATCTCCTTGGAGCTACATATGCAGCTCGTCGAGTGGTGAGATGCTGGGTTGCTATCAGTTCACAGTTATTGAATATCCCAAGATCTCCGTTATAGGGCAGTATGTTCGCAAAAGTGGTAAGGCGAACCGAAGCACAGCGGCCGAGTCTTCCCTTCTTCATTCGCCCGGAGGAATATCCCTGCAAAAATAGTGAAGAATAGGATAGCCGGGGCTTCATGTGAGCATTAATGGATTCATCTTATAGAGAAGCTGCTTGCGAGAACAAAAGTAGGCCCTCATAGAAAAAAGGTCGCTGTTTTTGGTAGGACTGCGAAAAGATGCTTTACAGAGAACTGCTGGATACTTGCACCAGGGTCAACCGTCACGTTCGAACATTTTCGGGATTTTTGCGACCCCCTAGCTCTCGAGGGGGTCCAGTTGCGACCCCCTGTTTTTGTTAATAAGAGTGCTAGACATGAATCCGTTGCGCCAGAAAGCGTCTGCGCGCCGCCGCAGCGTCGTTGCGGCGTCAGCCTTGGAGCGCGGCAGGTATCACCCGGGCGCTGGAAGAACGGGACGCGGCGAAGAAAAAATTTTAGAGGGGAATAACTTTCTTGGGACGTACTTTTTTGACTTGTTGAGGTAGATTTTGATTGTGCCTGAGGTGCGCTTTCAGAAAACTACAAGGATTGCCTAACTCTCCGGAAAGTACTTCTGTTAGAAGTGGAAAACCCAAAATTCTAAGAAGGCGCACCTTCAACTTTGAAGGCCCATAATATCTTTCGTATGCGACATTTTGGAAAGCTGTAAAAAGTTTCAGAAACTTCAAATATTTCTCTACAAAACAGTATAAAAAGTTTAGTGATTGTCCCCTTTTTCAAAAAATTGTCCCGTTCGAACATTTTTCGTGCAAAAGCGAGTTTTTGGGCTTTCAGCGACCATAACTCACTTCATTTTCATTTCTGTGATGCACTTTTTTCATGGGGTGAAAGTACAGGATTTGCTCTTTCTAACAAGCCCCAAACCGTTTTTCAAAGTTCATTTTTCGAGAAAATCACACGTTCGAACATTTTGGGGGGTTTTGCCGAACACTTTTTTTGAAATCGCGAGTTTTTGGGCTTTAAGCGGGCATAACTCACTTCATTTTCATTTCTGTGATGCACTTTTTTCATGGGGTGAAAGTACAGGATTTGCTCTTTCTAACAAGCACCAAACCGTTTTTCAAAATCCATTTTCCGAGAAAATCACACGTTCGAACATAGGTTTTTGAGCAGCACATGCGAGTTTTTGAGCTTTCAGCAATAATAACTTCCTTCAAAGAACTTGTTGGGGAGGGCGAAGACATTTTTGAAGACTACGAGATTTACGCTTACTCATGTATATTACAGTTCTCTAGAAGAAGCGCGTCCCCAAAAATTAGGTCTTTGAAGAACTTTATTTTCAGCCCCGAGAAGTCAAACCTTTCATAGGGATGCATTCAACTGTTCTTTATTCCAAGGAAAACACCGTAATTTGCCTAAAACTGTCTCTCTGTGCATAATAAATCGAATCTAATGCGGTCTGCACAAGCAATTCTTGCCCTCGGATACGCCACGCACGCGCCCGTGGCTGGCATTTGGAACTTCCAATTTCAATTGACTAATCCAAGTTTCTTTGTGAGCTTTCCTTCCCACCCTTCCATCCACCGACCAATGATGCTACCGCCGTGATTGCGGCCGTGGGTCCTCGAAATTGCGACCCCCTTCCGACCAAAATGCGACCCCTTCGTTCGAACAGTTCGAACGGACGGTTGACCCTGCTTGCACCGCCGTATCGGCCATTATGGACTCTAAGCATTTCCAGAAAAGGCTGACGCTATGCACAGAAATCGTCCAGAAAGGCTCACTATCTTCCTACTCCACGAACACACGTACTTGCTCGTGGCGAAGATCGCATATCAAAAGATCACAGGTTACAGTCGGAAATACAACCAGGGTCAACCGTCCGTTCGAACTGTTCGAACGAAGGGGTCGCATTTTGGTCGGAAGGGGGTCGCAATTTCGAGGACTGCCAGCCACAGGCGCGTGCGTGGCGTATCCGAGGGCAAGAATTGTTTGTGCAGACCGCATTAGATTCGATTAATTATGCACAGAGAGACAGTTTTAGGCAAATTACGGTGTTTTCCTTGAGGAATAAAGAACAGTTGAATGCATCCCTATGAAAGGTTTGACTTCTCGGGGCTGAAATTAAAGTTCTTCGGGACCTAATTTTCTGAGGACGATTCTTCCAGACAACGGTAAACACATAAGAAAGCAGAAATCTCGTAGTCTTCAAAAATGTCTTCGCCCCTCCCCAACAAGTTCTTTGAAGGAAGTTATTATTGCTGAAAGCTCAAAAACTCGCATGTGCTGCTCAAAAACCAAAATGTTCGAACGTGTGATTTTCTCGGAAAATGGATTTTGAAAAACGGTTTGGTGCTTGTTAGAAAGAGCAAATCCTGTACTTTCACCCCATGAAAAAAGTGCATCACAGAAATGAAAATGAAGTGAGTTATGGTCGCTGAAAGCCCAAAAACTCGCTTTTGCACGAAAAATGTTCGAACGGGACAATTTTTTGAAAAAGGGGACAATCACTAAACTTTTTATACTGTTTTGTTAGAGAAATATTTGAAGTTTCTGAAACTTTTTACAGATTTCCAAAATGTCGCATACGAAAGATTTTATGGGCCTTCAAAGTTGAAGGTGCGCCTTCTTAGAATTTTGGGTTTTCCACTTCTAACAGAAGTACTTTCCGGAGAGTTAGGCAAAAGTTATTTTTCTAAAATTTTTTTTTTGTTCTTCGCCGCGTCCCGTTCTTCCAGCGCCCGGGCGATACCTGCCGATTCTGGCGCAACGGATTCATGTCTAGCAGTCT